ATGCTATGCTCACCTTGAGTGTAACTACCATCTGTTACCATACAACACTATTAAAATACTCTACACTGTACCTTTTATCCCAGTGACTTATTCATTCCATAACTGGAAGCCTGTATCTACCACTCCCCTTCACCCATTTTTGCCCACCCTCCAACCTCCCCCCCACCCCTCTGACAACCATAAGTTTGTTCTCTATGGATCTGTTTCTTTTTGTTTGTTCATTTGTTTTACTTTTTAGATTCCAGATATAAGTGAAATAATACAGTATTTGTCTTTCTCTGTCTGACTTAATTCACTTAACATAATAACCTTTAGGTTCATCCACGTTGTCACAAATGACAAGATTTCATTCCTTTTTATGGCTGAGTAATATTCCATTGTGTGTCTATACCCCATCTTTATCCATTCATGTATCAATGGATACTTGGGCTGCTTCCAAATCTTGGCTATGGTAAAGAATGCTGCAATAAACATAGGGGTGCATATGTCTCCTCGAATTAGTCTTTCTGTATTCTTTGGGTAAATAGTAGTGGAATTACTGGATCATATAGTATTTCTATTTTTAAGTTTTTGAGGGACCATACTATTTTTCTCCATTTTCACCAATTTACATGAGAGTTTCCTTTTCTCCACATCTTTGCCAACAATTGTCATTTCTTGTCTTTTTTATTCTAGCCATTCTGACAGGTGTAAGGTGATACCCCATTGTGGTTTTAATTTACATTTCCCTGATGATTAGTAATGTTGAGCATCTTTTCATGGATCTGTTGGCCATCTGTATGTATTTGGAGAAATATCTATTCAGATCCTTTGCCCATTTTTAAATCATTGTTTGGGGTGGTTTTTTGTTTGTGTTTGCTTGGGGTTTTTTGGCATTGAGTTATATAAGTTCTTTCTATATTTTGGATATTAACCCCTATTTGGATATATTATTTGCAGATATCTTCTCCCATTCAGTAGGTTGCCTTTTTGTTTTATTGATGGTTTCCTTCACTTTGCAGAAGCTTTCATTTTGGTGTAGTCTTAATAATTTATTTTTACTTTTGTTTCCCTTGCCTGAGGAGTCCTATCTAGAAAAATCTTGCTAAGGCCAATGTCCAAGACATTACTGCCTGTGTTTTCTTCTAGGAGTTTTATGGTTTCAGGTCTTAACATTTAGGTCTTTAATCCATTTTTAGTTTATTTTTGTGTATGGTATAAGTGGTGTAGCCTCATATTTTGCAAGTAGCTGTCCAACTTTCCAGCACCATTTACTGAAAATCGGTCTTTTCTGCATTGTATATTCTTGTCTCCTTTGTCATAGATTGACTATGTAAGTATGGGTTTATTTCTGGGCTCTGTATTCTGTTCTGTTGATCTATATGTCTTTTTTGTGTGTGGCCAGTACCATAGTCTTTTGATTACTATAGCTTTGTAATAGATCTTGAAATCTGGGATTATGATACTTCCAGCTTTGTTCTTTCTCAAAGTTGCTTTGGCTATTCAGGGTCTTTTGTGGTTGCATAGAAGTTTTAGTACTATTTGTTCTAGTTCTGTGAAAAATGCTTTTGGTACTTTGATAAGGATTGCAATGAATCTGTAGATTGCTTTGAGTAGTATAGACATTTTAGCAATATTAATTCTTCCAATCCATGAGCATGGGATATCTTTTCATTTGTTTGTGTCATCTTCATTGATTTCATCAGTGTTTTATAGTTTTCAGAATACAGGTCTTTCACCTCCTTGGTTAAGTTTATTCCTAGGTATTTATTTTTTCTGGTGCAAGTGTAAATGGAATTGTTTTCTTACTTTCTCTTTCTGTTATTTTATTATTAATGTATAGAAATGCAGCCAATTTCTGTGTACTATATCCTGCAATGTTACTGAATTCATTTATTATTTCAAAGAAGGAATTGTTAAGCAAAAAGGAACCAGAACTTAAAGATTTGGCATAGCCTCAATCTGCACATATTGCAGAAAATGAGAAAGCATGTTTGGAAGAAGACAACAAGGGTATGGATGACCAACTGTTTGGTAAGGAGATTAGAACATGTGTTAACCGTGGACTTCTTCAGTGACCCCAGCAAGATCACTGCCAATTTGAACTGAAGGAAATGGATACAGGTCGGAATGAAGGAAGGCTGTCAGACTTAGATTCTACAGGACAGGACGATAAACAAACGATTAGCCTTTAAACCTGCACTATTTTCAAGGAAAGGAAAGAATGTTCCAAAAGCTGATTCAGAGATCATCAGGGCTGCCATCTTGGTTCTAGTAATCCAGACTGCCTCCAGTCAAAGCCATAGAGAAGGACTGCTGGCAGGGCCCTGGGGGTGTGACCCCCTGCCTGGTAGACCCTCAGGTTAGGTGGGGCCTCCACAGAAAGCCACAGCATTGTGGTGCCCCACCAAAACATGGGGGTGATATTGCCACCTCAGTGGGTCTGGAAGTCAGAGCATTGAGTCAAAGAGGATTATTCTTAAATCTTAAGATCTTGTGGCGTTTGCCTTGCTAGGTTTTGGAATTGCTTGGGACTGTCACCTCTTCCTTCTTTCCTTTTTCTCCCTTTTGGAATGAAAATGTCTGTCTTACGCCAGTCATGTGTTCATAGCTGGAGAGGAATTTTGCCTCAGGATCAATCATACCTTGAGTCTCACCCATACCTGATTTAGATGTTTATTGATTGATTATTTTTCTAGTATAGTTGACACAATGTTACATTAGTTTCAGGTGTAAGGTTTAGATGATATTTAGATGAGACTTCGGACTTTAGAAGTTCAAGTTGATGCTGGAACGAGTTAACACTTTTGAGGTGGTTGGGATGGAATGAATACATTTTGCATTTAGAAGGACATAAATTTGGGTGGAGGCAGAATGCTATGGACTGAATGTTAGTATCTCTTGGCCATGTGAGGATACAGCAAGAAGGTATCCATCTGCATACCAGGAAACAGGCTCTCAGCAGGAACCAGATTGGTTGTTGGCACCTTGATCTTAGACCTTCCAGCCTCCAGAACTGTCAGAAATAAATTTATGTTGTTTAAGGCACCCAGTCTATGGTAATATAGGTATGTACACAAAAGATTTGAAAGGGCTTCCAAGAGATATTTGTACACTTATGTTCATAGCATCATTATTCACAATAGCTCAGAGTTCAAGCAACCCAAATGTCTGTTGTTGGATGAATGGATAAACAAAATTTGGTATTTGGTATATACACGCAATGGAGTATTATTCAGTTTTAGAAAGAAAAGAAATTCTGATACATGCAACAATATGGATGAACCTTAAGGATGTTCTGCTAAGTGAAATAAGCTAGTCACAAAAAGACAAATAGTCTATGATTCTATTTATATAAGGTACCTAGAGTAGTCATTCATAAAGGCAGAAAGTAGAATGACGGTTACAGGGGCTGGTGAGAGGAGGGAATGGCGTGTTATTGTTTAATGGGTGTGAGTTTCAGGTGTCTTGTTTTTGCCACAAAAAGTGTTTCCAGATGGTCCAGGGCTTGGGCAAGGGCTCCAGGTGCCTGTAGGGAGAGCCTCAGGCAGAACCCCAGACACCAGAGGGGGCAAGAAGGGCCCCTCAAAGGCTGCTAGGCTCTGCAGGCTCTTAGTCTTACATGAGAGATCCTCACCCAGCCTGGTGGCTGGCCAGCCTGCGGAGGTGAGTCAGGTGGTCGCCATCTTCTTGACGAGTGTCACCTCCTTATCTAGGAAGTGGTTCTCCCAGGAGTGGAGGTCTGCATGGGCAGAAGCCGGGGCTTGCAGATGCCAAAGGGCGTGGTTCGGGTTTTTCTCCAGGGGCATGGTGTTTTCTGTGGTATCCAAGACTTTGCCCCACTCATCTTGGGGTGGCTTCTGCACCTCCTGGAAGAGGGCACTGGTTCTGCATCTTCAAGAGATGCTTGGTGCCCACTTGTGGAGGAAGTGGCCCCCTCCCTGCTGAGCCACATCATAGTGGTTGAAATAGAAGCTGAGGAGAGAGGTAGGTATGGGAGGCCTGCAGGTGAATGTTGACCAGGAGGTTGACGGCGGAATAATTCTTATGAATCACAGACCCTCAGTGGAATAATTCTGACCAATCTAGGCACTCACGGTTGATGGCAGTAAAGAGCTAAGATCGAAATAATGATGTTGGCTGGTCCCCTAGGTGGAGGATGGCTGAGAGACGATTCCAAAGATTGCAACTAGAAAGGTGGTTGGAGGCTATTCTGTCCGCACACTGTTGGAGCAAGAGACAGATCCCCGCCACCCTGGGCACATTGCCTGAGTTTCCGTTTGGAAGGTTATAAAGAGTTCTGGAGAGCGATGGTGGTGATGGTTCACAATAATATGAATGTACTTAATACCACTGAGCTGTGCACTTAAAAATGGTTAAGATGGAAAATTTATGTTATGTGTGTTTACCACAATAAAAATCTCTCTACTGTTCATCAAACACATAATTAGACCTATCTTACCTCTAGTTGATGATGTTTTGATACTTTTAATATGTTTGGGTTTTCCTTAAGTTGCAGGATTTTATAAATCATTAACGAATGTAGAGATTATACTCCCATAATCGTGGGAACACTATTGATTATTAGAGCAAGCTCTGGAATATATTCATTTACAGTATTTTTAAAGTTCCTTAGTACCAGTACCAACAGATGCCCTTACCAAAGCAGTTTTGAAATTTTGCTATAGTAGGATTTACTTTTAAGTTACTTTAATGTTGTTTCTGGAAAAAATGAAAACCTATTACATTATTTTAATTTTGTTTATATGTTCCTCTCTGTTTTCCTTGTATTTTTAATTTTTTTAAAGATTTTATTTTTAAGAACTCTCTACACCTAACATGGGGCTCGAACTCACAAACCTGAGATCCAAAGTTGCACGCTCCACTGACTGAGCCAGCCAGCTGCCCTTGTTTTCCTTTTAATAGACACAGTTAGGTCACCATAAGAACAGATTTGAGTGCCAATACATTTCCTGGTTTACCTTTAATTTTTGGTGTTTTGTGTTATGATCTAAATTTAGATATCCAAAGAGAAGAAGAAAAAGTGAAACGGTCAGTGAAAGATGCTGCCAAGAAGGGTCAGAAGGACGTCTGTGTGGTTCTAGCCAAGGAGATGATCAGGTCAAGGAAGGCTGTGAGCAAGCTCTATGCTTCCAAAGCTCACATGAACTCTGTGCTCATGGGGATGAAGAACCAGCTGGGTAAGAGAGCAGTTACCTTATAGCTTCCTCATTAATGCTGATGCTCTTGCTCTTGTTATCAGTACTGGCTGGTTTCCTCGAGTAGGAGAAACAGTCTCAGCTCTGGTTTTTGTTCTTTATATTGTCTTGGTTGGGGTGTTACACAAATGCAAAATATAATTATCACTATCATATTAGGATTCATTTTCTTTTGCCAGAGTTGTTATAATAATGGCAAAATATGCATATTAATCTCCTTTACTTAGAATATTTTCCCTCGTGTGAACAGTGTTGTAAAGTGACCTGAGCGTTGAATCCTGGGAGTTAAGAAGTGTGTTAGAGGAGGAGGAAGAGTGTTCACCCCACCTGGGTACAGACCACCCTAGGCAGAATTTTAAAATAGTCCACGTTTGTCTTTGGCTTTCACACCACCTCCTTTTCTGCCTTATCTCTGGCTGCCTACCTAATGCTTCCTTACATCTTAGGAATCTGTAGACTATGTAATGGGTATTCAGCACACATGTGAATTATCAGTTTAATTTCTAAAAATTTTTATAATATTTAAAATAAACATAATTAAGTTTTCTTTTATTGTCCAGTATAATACTCCTGTGATCTTTTACATGAATCAGTCTTCAGGTCAGTGGCAGCTTGAGTCATAGGTTAAATTTTACAACCAGTTGGTTTCTGGTTTTAAATTAAGAAGTCCTAACTCAGAAGTATCATTCCTTGAGAATGGCAGCAAGTGACTGTCAGATATTTAGGCTTGAGTACTGACTCAGGAATTACAGTGAAATTTTTCACTAAGGAATGTTTTCAGCTCTCTGTCAGATACGACACTGATGATATATCACACTCAGAAGCGAGGAGGCTTGAATATTTCAGTTTAGAGGCTGGTGCCAAATGAGTACCTAATCCATTATTTGGTTGTGTTTGGCTCTGAAGGTATTCCTTTGTGTTCAATGTTAACATTTAGATGTAGTTGTTAAAAATGCCTAGTAATGAATATATCATCAGTTTCTTTCTCCAGATACTGAAGACACTAATAATGGATTGGGAAGGACCAAAAAAAACCCCAAAAAACCCAACCATACCACATCATCTTAACTTTTAAAATCTGTTACTTCAGCTCTAAGTAAGTACACACACACACACACACATATATACACACACTTTAAATTTAAATACTGGCTATGTAATCTAGATACATGCCTTTGAAGAAGCCAGAGTACCATAGAGTACCGGGAAGAAATAATCTAATCTTAACCTGTCAGTTTGAAAGCTTAAGTATACTCTTGCCTTTCATAGCCAGCAAGGAAGGTTTTATATTTACTTCTTATTCTTTCTGCAACATGCTGTAAGGGTAAGATACACGTTCAGTTGACCACGGTGAACTTACTTTAAAATTTTTCAGTATTTCCTTTACTGAATCAACATTAGAAAACATCTAGCTTACTCTGCTCCCCCACTTCTCCCATGAATAAAGCACCGTATGCACAGCCTCTTTCATTTCCCCAGTTGCAAAGATAAAAGTACACCGGATAATATAGTAGATGCTTAGGTACCTGTCACCCAGAATCAATAAAATTTGACATCTTATTATATTTGCTTCAGTTTTATATTATAGAAGAAGCCGTATTACTAAAGTTGAAGCTCCTTTAATATGCCTTCTCAGTTCCAGTCCCTTCTCTCTCAACCTCCCCATGGGTAACCGCTGTCATGAATCTTAAAATGTGTAGAAATGTTTTTATACTATATATACAATTCTGCATTGTTTTTTTCCATTTATCATTGTGTTTTTGAAGTATACCGATAATGATATATTTTTAAACTACTGGATGGTGTTCCATCCGACTGATGTGTCACATTTTTTTCCTTCTCCCATTAATGCACATTTAGGCTGTTTTTAATTTTTTGCTATTACAGTGCAGCCGTGAACGTCTTTTCACTTTCGCCCGTGCATTAAGGTTTCTTTAGGACAGTTATATACTCAGAAGTGGAATTGTTGGGTTAAAAATAACTGTGTTTAAATTTTGGTAGAATTGCAAAATTGCTATCCAAAGAGGCTTTACTAATTTACATTCCCACCAGCAGCAGATGAGAGTTCTTTTTTCCATACCTCTTCACCAACCTTTGTCAGACTTTGTAATTTTTGAGAAATGTTACCTTGTTAATAGCAGATAACATTTCTCAGGGAACTAGTGTACTTGATCAGGGTCTTCTGTTCACCTTTTCTTTCTGTATACTGATTCCTAAAAACCTTTTCAGTTACAGCTCACAAGCAATATGCCTGAAAAATCTCTTCTTCTGTAGCATGTTCTTTCAGTAGTAAAGGTAACAAAAGCTCTCGTATGTACTGTAGAGAAGTCAGAAGCTTGTTATCCTTTATCCACCCATAATAATATATCTTATCATTGGTTTCAAATATATATTGTTTGTGGTTTTATCACAACGGAAAAGTAAAATATCTGCTGTTTGGTCTTTAAATGTCAAAGTGCTCCAAAGCTCTGTTCTAGATCCCCTGCTGTTTTCCATGTTCTCTGTCCCCCAGGTGACCTCACCTAACCTTGTTCCTCCAAATGTTGCTTTCCACATTTTTATGTGCAAGCCCAACTTTTGTCACCTCGTGTATGGGTGGCATCTCCCCCTCTTAGTGGACATGGCACAGTTGCCGCACCTGCACAGAAATCTTGGCGGGTCGGACCTCAGCTGTACGCGCACTTCCTGCCTGCATCTTCCCCTGGGAGCCCAAGACCTCACACGCTTTCATCTGTGAATAATTCCACATGGATTCCTAAAAGACAGGGGTTCTGTCCCTTCTATTCCCTGCTCTCTTAGTTCTTGGATGTGTTCATGTGATCACTTCCTTGTCATTTTGTTTTCTGTTTCTTTCTGGAAGCAAAAGATTTTAGTTGTCAGATTTCCCAGACTGATCCTTGAATTTTCTTACCTTTCTTGTTTTCCATTTTGAAAATCATAATAGCACCTTCCTCATAGGGGAGGTGTGAGGCTTGTTCACCGCCTGGCACGTGGTGAGTGCTTTATATGTGGGTTCAGAATATCACTGTCATTGATTTTGTCACTGCGTTTTCCTTTCTGAGAAATTTCCTCTATTTTCTGTTTCTTTTCTTTTTTTAAAGATTTTATTTTTATTTATTTGAGAGAGAGAGAATGAGAGACAGAGAGCATGAGAGGGAAGAGGGCAGAGGGAGAAGCAGAACCCCCACCGAGCAGGGAGCCTGATGTGGGACTTGATCCTGGACTCCAGGATCATGACCTGAGCCGAAGGCAGTCACTTAACCAACTGAGCCACCCAGGCGCCCTTCTGTTTCTTTTCTTGAATGCTTTATTTTGGCTGTCTTAATTTTATTTACAGAAAAGGGTTCTCTGATCTTTTTTTTTTTTTTAAGATTATTTATTTGAGAAAGAGAGTGAGTGAGAGAGAGCACAAGCAGTGGGGAGAGGGAGAAGCAGGCTCACCACTAAGCAGGGAGCCCGACGTGGGGCTCGATCCCAGGACCCTGGGATCATGACCTGAGCTGAAGGCAGACACTTAACTGACTAAGCCAACCAGGTGCCCCACATTGATTTATTTCTTATTATAGTAAAGTATACATAACCTAAAACTAACCAGTTTTAAGTATACAGTGACATTAAGTACATTCACATTGCTGTGCAACCATTACCACTGTCCATCTCCAAACTTTTCCTTCATCCCATACTGAAACTCTGTACCCATTAAATAATGACTCTCTGTCTGCCCCCACCACCCCACCCCTGCAACCAACGCCCAAGTCCCCTGGTAACCACTATTCTGTTTTCTGTCTCTGTGTATAATTTCACTATTCTGAGTACCTCATATAAGTGGAATCAAGAATATTTGTCCCGTTGTGCCTGGCTTATTTTACTTACCATAATGTTTTCAACATTCATCCATGTTATATAGCATGAATCAGAGTTAACTTCCTTTTTAAGATTGAACAGTACTTCATTGTATGCATGCTTCATTGTTTATTCATCTTTATACGGACATTTGGGTTGTTCTACATTTGGGTTATTGTGAATAATCCTGTTATTAACATGAGTGTACAAGTATCTGTTTGAATCCCTGCTCTCATCTTTTTTTTTTTTTTTGGTACCATATACTCTGTAGTGGAATTGCTGGGTCAAATGGTAATTCTATATTTAATTTTTGAGGAAACACCATAGTGCTTTCCATAGCACACTGTACCATCTTACATTCCTAATATCAAAAGACATTCAAAAGCAACCACATATATGGTGGAATAGAAAAGGTAACTGTGCACACCCAGGGCAAGCTACTGCTCTGCAAAGACCTGAGAAGACTTTAAGTTTACAGTGTAGATTGATCCCCAACACAGAGATACCCTGCAGCAATAAAAACAAAAAAATAGCAAACCCTGGTGAAGTGGGAGAATCTGACTTCAGAGTTGTAAGATTCAAAGGTCTCATTTTCAACAACAACAAAATCACAAGATGTACAAACAGGAAGATATGGCCCATCCAAAGGAAAACAAATGAACAGAAAATGTCCCTGAGAAAGACCAGATGACTATTTTACTCAACAGATACTTTGTAAACAACTGTTTTAAAGATGCACAAAGAGCCAAAGTAAAATGTGGACAAAGGCAAGAAAATTAAACATGAATAAAGTGGAAATATCAATAAAAAGAGAAAATACGAAAAGAAACCAAAAAGAAATTCTGCTGCTGAAGAGTACAATAAATGAGACGAAAAATTCATTAGAGTTACTTGGAAGCAGATTTGAGCGGGCAGAAGAGTCCGTGAACTTGAAAATAGTATAGTTGGAATTATCAAGTCTGAAGAGAAGGGGAAAAAATTGAAGTAAATTGAGCCTAATGGATCTGTAGGACATCGTGAAGTGGACCAGCGTACACTTTGTGGGAGTCCCAGAAGGAAAATAGAGAAAGGGGCAGGGAGATGATTTAAAAGACTAGTGACTTTTAGATCATTTTGATCATTTGAGATGATCAATTTTACTCAACATATACTTTGTAAACAACTCAAATTTTATGAAAGACATGAATATAATCATCCAAGAAGTTCCACATACTCCAAATAGTGTACACTCAAAGAGACCCATGCCAATGCACATTATAATGCCCCATTATAATGTCAAACTTTAGATAGATAATGTTTAAAGCAGTGAGTAAGGACTTACCATATATAAGGAACCTCAGTAAGATTTTCAGCAGGTTCCTCACCAGAAGTGTTGAGGGCCAGAAGGCAGTGGGTTGATATATTCAAATGCTGAAAGAAGAACTATCAACCAAGAATCTTATATTCAGCAAAACAAGGGAGAAATCAAGGCATTCCTAGATAAACAAAAGCTGAGGGAGTTTGTTACCACTAGACCAGCCTGGCAGGAAGTCAGGGTGTCACCCCTGTAGGGTGTCCTGGTTGAAATTAAAGTATGATAGTAACTTGAAGCCATATGAAAAAATAAATATCTCTGTTAAAGGTAAATACATGGGCAATTATAAAAGCTAGTATTTTTGTAACTTCAGTTTGTAACTCCTTTTTTTGTTTTCTACATGATTTAGGAGACTTGGGCATTTGAAGAAATACATTAGGCTATGTTTTTGAACTCACACTACAGAAAGATGTATTTTTGTGACATCAGTAACTGAATGGGGGTAGGGACAGAGCTATATAGAAATAAAGTTTTTATATGCTATTCAAGTTAAGCTCATATAAATTCAAATTAGTGTTATAACTTTAGTGTATTAACTGTAATCCCTATGGTAACCACAAAGAAAATAGCTATAGATTATACAAAAAAGCCAATGAAATAGGATTTGAAAAGTTTCACTATGAAGAAAAGTAAACAGAAAAGAAGATATTAATGAAGGAAATGAAAGACAAAAAAGCTGTAAGGCTTACAGAAAAATTGGCAAAATGGCAGAAGTAGGCACCTCTTTGTCAGTAATTAAATGTAAATGGATTAAACTCTTCAGTTGAAAGACAGAGCTTGGAAAAATTGATTTTTAAAAATGATCCTACTCTGTGCTATCTGTAAGTCACTCACTTTAGATCCAAAAGTAGAAATTGGTTGAGGGTGAAAG